AAAAGCGGCAAGGACAAACCTGGCTTCAAAAAGCAACGAGCCTATATCTCATGGGGTGGCGACTCCGGTGACGAGTCAACTGATCAAGAAGAGGAGGAAGCCGCCAACCTCTGCCTCATGGCGCACGAAGATCATACCGACGACGTTCAAGAGGTATGTACCATTTCTTCCGACTCTTATACTTTTGAAGAAATGCAAGAAGCACTTCATGAGCTCTATGACGAATTTGTTAGCGCTTCTAAAACCAATAAATCATTAAAGAAACGTCTTTCAACCCTTGAAAATGATTTTGAAAAGCTGGAAAAAGATAATGAAAGGCTGAAACAAGAAAACAAAATTATGGCAAAAGAAGCACTGACAAACCAGAAAGTTCTTCAAGTGAATGTGAGTCTTGCAAAACTTTAAAAGAAAAGGTTGCAAAACTTGAGAGTACGGTTAAGAAGTTTAATACACCACACAAAGATCTTAATTTACTCATTGACACCATGCATTTTTCTAAGGAATAAGTTTTGATAAAAATGAATCTAAGGATAAAAACGTTGAGCAAACACCTAGACAACCACCTAAGGCTCAACATAAGAAAGTTAAAAATCAGGATAATAGAAAATCTAGTCAACCTAGGGACACTAGACAACCTAGACAAAAACCTAGGAACGAAAATGCGCATGCTAGACAACCTAGGAAAAGTTATCAAAATGATTTCGTGCATAAAAATAATTTTTCAAATAGACAAAATAATTCTAGGACACCTAGAAGGGAAAATTTTCAAAAACCAATGTTTTCTCAAAACAGGTTGAATATGGTTAGGCCCCCTAGCAACTACTATCAACCTAGGAGGATGCACAAACCAAACGTAGTTTGCCATTATTGCAATAGGGTAGGACATATAGCTCCCGTTTGCTTTACTAGGCATAGGCATTGGACACAAAATGAATCACACTACCACTTTGCACCTAACACTCAAGGACCCAAAAAGACTTGGGTACCTAAATCTTATTAAATCATCTTTGTAGGTATGCTTGAAGGCGTCAAGTGTACTGTGGTACCTTGATAGCGGATGCTCCAAGCACATGACCGGAGATGCATCCAAGTTCCTACAAATCAAACTCGCTAAAGGAGGAAACGTAGTCTTTGGAGATAATAGCAAAGGGAAATTTATTGGCGTCGGTTCAGTAGGTAAGTCCGAAGACTCCTCTATAGATAATGTCTTGCTAGTCAAAGGTCTTAAACACAATCTCTTGAGCATAAGTCAATTATGTGACAAGGGAAACCGTGTGACCTTCGATTCAAAATCATGCACTGTAGAACGCCTTAGTGACAATAAGGTCATTCTACGTGGTGATAGAATCGATAACATTTATATGGTTAACTTAGACAAATCTCCTTCCGGCTTTGCTAAGTGCCTCATGAGTAAAGAGGAAGACA